ACTTCTACTAACTACATTTCCTTCCTGTGGCTATTGCATTTTATATATTAAAATTATTTTTCTTAATGTATTGCAGCTATTTCTATTGTTCAGACTTGGCTTTTGCACCTTTTTCCCCTCTCACCACAGTAAGGAAGACTTTAGATAATGTAGCAAACACATAAGAGTCTATTTTCTGTTTCATTCTATCTTGCTTTCTAAGATGCTAACCTTGATGCATCCATCCATCTCCTGACCTTCAGTGGCTTACAATCCATAATGTGGAAAACACTGTGTGATGTCAACAGAGAACACTGAAAAGTATCTGTCGGACATACACTGGATTTGCTTCCAAGATTCTTTAACTTCTAGTGCTGAGTCCAAAAATGGCTCAATCCATGTCATTGTCAACTGTCATCATTGTCACCTCCCTCCTTCCTCCACTCCCTCTTCCTCCTTCCTCTTCTTCACTCAGAAACCACAGAAAGCACGAGAAAACACAAGTAAAAAGAAAATGCTCTTGTGTACACACTGGGAAAGAACCCATTCCTGGTGGGCCTAGCAAAATCCTTTCTAAAGGGTGTGACTCGAGTCTGCCCTTCAGCCTGTCTCCACTCAGGCACTTAGCTGTCTGTGCCTTTATCACAAGCGGTCTCATGTGGTGTTTAGCTCCTAGGCTCAGGTCAAACTTCAGACTTACTGTTTCCATAAAGGTCCTCTTTCTAAACATGACTTTCTGCTTTTATAAAATGAACATGGGGCAACTGTTCTGCTATGGAGTAGACATTTTAGTCCATCCTCTTGTATCACCCTATATAGCAAAGTATGTGCTGTAAGATGCTACAAGAGGAAACATAGAGAGGAAGAAAGAAGAGCAAGCTGGTTTCTTCATTCATACATATACCATTGCCTAGAGCCACCCTGATGCAGATAAGTGCCCAGGAAATAGTCATCGGAAACATGAAAGAATGAATGAATGATGAGCTCATTCACAACTCAGGCCAAGTGTACTCACAAGAGGTCAGCTCTAAAAAGCCCCAGATGGACCTCACTAGTGCTGCCTGTCAGACATACACCAACTCGGTCTAGCCTCTATCACTATTCTGGGCCTGAGGATGCTCACCTAGCCCTTGGGTGGGAGATGAAGCCTCAGCTGGGAATGCTTCGGGAAATCCAGTCTCCACCCAGTTCTCCAGTGATTCTAGCTCTGGTTTGCAGCCCTTGCTTCAGGTACCACCTCCAAGAGTCTTCAGGCTACCCAAGGGTCTTCCTAAAGGGCTTAATTAAAAACTCATTTTAGCCTGGCTGGGGTGTTGCACACCTTTAATCCCAACACTGGGGGGTTGGGGGGGCAGAGGCAGGTGGATCTATGTGCATTTGAGGCCAGCCTGGTCTACAAATCGAGTTCCAGGACAGGCTCCAAAGCTACACAAAAAAACAAAACCTCATTTTATACTGAAAAAAGCACACCATCCAGGAATGAGGCTTCTAAAGAGGGGGTGTTACGCTTAGAGGGCCATTGAGTTCCAGGTTGAATGAATGCTAAGAGTGAGGCTGGTATCCTGGGTCACACGCATGTACCTCCCATATCTAGATTTCTGAGGTTTTCTAGCTGCTGGTCTCACAGAATCCCAAAGAGGGATGAAGAAGGCACAAAAAGCCTGACTCTTTGGCTTCTGTGATCACAATGCACTGGTTTATCAGGGCTAGCATGACTATGGAAATGACCATGACCTCAACCCTGGGCTAAAGAAACTTGGACAGAGAAGCATGAATGAGGGAGCGCCTAAAGTCAGGGGCAGGATGCTCACTTGGAGTTCAGATTCACTCCTCTGCCTCCTCTCTTGAAGCCCCAAATTTGGAAGACTGGCCCTCTAACCGACAAGCATCTGAGTCAGAGTCATCAGACTCCAAAGTGAACCTTCTAGCATCTGCAATAGGAAAGCACCCACTATAGCCATCCGACTACACTAGCAGAGGAAGTGCATCCAGAACCAGAAGTTGCTCCAGTATCAGCAAAATGGGCTGGCTGGTGGTCGCTCCCAATACAGGCCCAAATGGTCCGCCATTGTGCTGCACATTATGACCTAGTGCTGGGGGTGCTGAGGCAGAAAGAATGGGGTAAGGCAATCTACATGAGGCCTACTAGAACAGGTGCAGTCACATAGCCAAGGCCTTGTATCAACCAATCCAATAACACCAACAACATCTCACACACACGCACACGTTTTCGCACACAGGCAAAACACACAGGGACACATGCACACACACACATGCACAACCCAAGAACACACACATGTACACACATGCACAACACACAAGAAACACACACATACCAAAGCTAGAGCTTGTATTATACTTCTATACAGCAAATGATACAGTCAGGCACCTAAAGATAGCATATCAAGAACTATCCAAATGGACCTGTAAATAAAATCATATGTATCCTTACAAGACAGATGAGAAGCAACACTGGGAACAGATACACAATAGAAGTGACATGATGTTGCAAGCAGAGTTGTTGCAATAGGAACAATGGAAGGCCAGGACTTGGTCCCACATTGGAGACATGAGATTGCTGATGGCCCAGAAGAGACACTTGGGAGAGCTCTTAATGTATCTCAAGCACAGTAGGGTGGCTAGGTGATCCCCACTCTGAATGTAATGCCAGATTTGCCTTGGGATGGCTAACAACAAAGATGTTCCTCTTCTCCTGACATCTGTAAGGGACACACAGCTTCAGTTCAGTATGCTAAGGGCTGAGGTCATCACCAACACTCTTGGCATCGTGGGAGCACACAATAGAGAGGCACTAACCAGTCTCCAGGGACAACCTCTTTCCTTTCCCAAAGAAATATGGCATACCTCTTGGGAGCCCAAGACCCTGATACACAACATTGAACATGAAAGCCATGGTCGTGTCCATTTGGAGGGCTCCCCAAAGAAAAGATTTTCAGATGGAGGGACTTTAGGCTCCAAGAGGATATTTAGGAATGTCTGGAGATAGCTTTGGTCGTCCGGATTGTCAGGAGGTTGGGGGAGGAGGAAGGATGGGTGCTGTTGCCATCTATAGGGTAGAAGTCAGGGTTGATGATAAGCTGCTGTTTTAAGTATGAATGCACCACTCCAAAATGTTAGCACTGCCTTGCGTGGGGAGTGCTGTGCCCCTGAGCCTCCACAGGAGGCTAGGGAGCTCAAGTGAGGGGGGCTGGGAGGCTCTAAGAGCACAGAGGAAAGGCCCTATCATCACAGGATCTGTGTAGTTGGAAGATTTTCTATCTCAACTGGTCCCACTACACGGGTTTATTTCCCACCTGCCAGTCCCCGTAACCACTTATTAAATAACCATTCCTGGCTTAATATTAATCATAATTGTTTGGCCAATGGCTCAGGTGTATTATTTACTAGTTCTCACAACTAAATCAACCCATATTTATTCGTTTGTATATCACCACATGGCTGTGGTAATATTCTAGAAACGTAACCCACGGCAGCTACATGGCGTCTCTCCAACTTCACCTTCTTTCTCTCCGTAACTCTGGGTTTCCTGCCTAGCTATATTCTGCCTGGCTATTGGCCAAAATAGCTTTATCCATCAACCAATGAAAGCCACACATATTCACAGCCTACAGAAGGACCTCTCACAGCAGTTGGGGACCATGAGAAAAAGTGCTGTCTGCAGATGGGCAGGAGGCTTGAGGAGGAGCTCCCATCGAGAACAGCAACAGTTCGGGGACGCGTCACTCTCTTGTGAGCTGGATAGAAAGGAAGGTTTGTCCTATTACATTCACCATGGAGAAGGGTCACCCTAGCATGTTAAGGCTTAACGTGGTATTGAGAACATGGCTCTAAGCCAGGTCTCCACTGAAGTCCCTCCAATTCCCCCTTCTACCAACTGTGGCCTTGGACAAGATGCATTGTATTTCTCAATCCATTGTTAGGATTAAGGCAGAGGCCAGCAGGGGAGTCCTCTGCCGGTGGTGGTAGGGTTAACGAGAAGACGCACAGGGACAACTTGGCACACAGCATCCTTATTTCTCAAAGGAAAGGGTGGTCGGAAACCCCCTTATCAGAGTACAAAGCAGGACAAAACCAAAATGCAGAAAATTCACAGACCCACAGCTCACTCAAGCAAGGCACAGTTCCTCAGTTCTTGACCCAGCATCACAGCCACACGAAGGGCTTCTGGGATGGCCGAAATGGCCGCCCTCAGAAGGTAGAGGTCCTAGACACATGGACAACAAATATTCTATCCACCTGTCAGTGAGAAGAGACACAGCTGATCTTCATTTCAACCCTCCTCGGTGATGAGGACAAACTTGAAGTTATTCCAGGAGATAACCTGGGACATGGCGCCCTGAACAGCAAGACCCTGTCCATGCAGAGTTCTGCAAATCACTCTCTTCCATGCACAGATGTGGTAAATCTCCTACCCTCCATGAACAGCTACGTGAATGGGATGCTAATTTTCTAAAAAGATGATGGCTCAATGATTGCTAAATAAACCAGAACCCTGTATCGTTGCCTCCCTCCTTCAGGTAGTGATTAGAAAAGACAGGGCACACTCACTCACATTGGACATCCTCAAGTGGTACCCAGTCAGCTCCTTAAGTCTACTCTGTGTGAACTGAATCACACGATCTAGAATCAAATTCTGTTTCACACGATACAATGGACAGGGTATGAGTAAATGATGGCCAAACTAGCATCATTCGTTCCTTTATTGTGACATAGTGAGATATAGAAAAAAAAAAAAAAAACACACCCTAAGGTCCCTTTGTGTACAGGAGTCTTCACTGCAAACAAGACAAGCTGGCTGCACAAGGTACACCAGACATACACCACGGGTGAGGAGAGGGAGTCCAGAAGACCTTTTAAGACCATTTTAGGCATCCAGTCACCATACACCACCACAGACTATCTATACCATCTCAAGTCCTAGCCTGGCCGGTCTCTCTAGAGGAAGTCCAGTGTCCAAAAGAGACAACCCCGCCCCAAATAACAGAAGCAAGTGACCAGCCTTTATCTGCACATACTAAGTCGCTTTTATTAACCCAGAACGGCATGCTACAGATACTGTACAGCATGGACATTGATTCATTACAAAAACGGCTTCCAAACCATTCAAAATGAACTTGGGATAAGCGTAGAACAGAACAGTAACATCACAACTGTTAGGAAACATTCAGAGTATTCACAGAAAAATGTTATAGTTAGCATTTTAAGAAACCAGAGAAAACCAGAGACAGTTTTACAATCGCTTCATGTCAACTACGATGGCACTGAAGGGACAGGTCTCAGCTTTATACAGCATTTTACAACATCAGCATGCCTAGGTTTTCTTGTTTGTAAAGTTCACCACCTACTTGTATGTAATATGTGTACATAAAAGCGGCAGCTGGTTTTTTTTTCTTTTTTTTTTCATTTAAGAGTAATCTAATATACAGAATTTTTGGCCCTTAAGGGTTTAGACCTCTTCATTTAAAATGCTTTCTGGACGGTCTGCTACCAAACACATTTTGTTATAGGTGACATTAAAACTACACACAAGTCTATCTATGTAACATCACAGCAAAACATGGCGAACAGAAAGTACAGCATCAAAAAAGAGGGAGGAAGCTAAAGCCACTGAGAATTTTGGCACATAAAAGTTTTGCACACGGTCAGTCCATGTTCTAAGAGCACAGGGCAATTGACTAGGAGATGGGGGGAAACGGGGTGGTTCCCAGGGCTGCTCAGACAGCTGCGAAGATTCTCTCACTAATGTTCAAGTCTTGTTTTACATAATGGCTTTTAAAGCAACCCTTGTTAATGCTACTGACCCTTAATGTAACTATTAATGTCCTTTTGGTGGCGTCCGGGTTTCATACAGAAACAAACAAATAAACAAAAGTCAAAAAAAAGGAAACAAAAAATATATACACATTTTATATATAAACTTAAAAACCTTGTACAAATGAGTTGTTATATATAAGATGCTTATGCTAAGGACGGGGGGGGGGGGACTTTATACAGTTTCAAAGGAAAAAAAAGGAAACATATTTAAAAAGGGACAGACGTACAGGTACAACAAGCAACCTCTAAAGCAATAAATACTACTGGTCCAACAGCGTTGATTCCATTCATTGTTGAGTAGCGTCCCCTCCCCCCAAAAGAACAACACCATGGAACAAGGTATATTAACACATTTTACCCTTTGTTTCTGTACATTTAAACAATAACAAGTAACGTCACAATAAAAGTTGTTTCACACAGAAAAAAAAAAAAAGAAGAAAGAAAGAGAAAGAAAGGGCACTGCATTCATTGTACCCTCGTGGTTTAAAAACCAAGATGAAAAGTGATTGGTTCGCAAGCTCGTATTTAATACAAATAATACAGAACCAACTCCTTCTGTGGGATGCTTCAAAACTGCTTCTCTCTTTTTTTTTCTTTTTGCTTTTTAATCAGTCTTTTAAAACTAAGCTATCCAAACTACATAACAGTTATGTATATATATATATATTTTAAACGCTACAAAGACTTTAAACAGCTGTTGATAAAAATTTTGGTAGAATCATGAGGTTTCTCTCATCTACATATTTAAAAGGAGAAGTTGAAATAAGAATGGGTCAAATATTGACCAATGAACTCGATAAACATCAACTCATGTAGCCACAGTGGCACAAATTAAGAGTACAAACAAAAGCTTTCCAAGGTGGGGTGGAGGAGGGCAAACCAAGAACCAGAAGGAAACACTTCAATCAAGCAGGTCATAGTGGACGAGGTGTAGCTATTCTAAAGACTTGGTCACCAGAGACAGAGGCTGGGGCTGGGTCCCAGCCAGAGAGTTGTGGGAATGTAAGGAAGATGTAGAGGGCTGTGCGAGCGATGAGGACGGGACCATGGGTGGCTGCAGGGCGGCAGGTGGCAGGTCCAGGGCCCCATTGGGACAGAGGGCAGAGGCCTTGCCGTGGGCAGCTTCAGCCAGTAGGAGTGCAGGTGGCGGTGGCACCATGGACAGGTGGGCCAGAGGATCAGGCTTCAGGGACAGCGAGAGCGGCTGTGTCTGCTCAGTCTGTGACTTGGCATCTTGGGGAGGGGAGCCTAGCAAATGCGGGGACGGGGGCGGCGACTCTAGTAAGCTTCCGTCTGAAGAGGGTGGGCTGAGGCAGCTGCCTTCACCTTGTATGTAGCGAACGCACTTTTTTTTTCTCCTAGAAACAGGGGAGAGAGTTATCTGTGAATAAAGGGCAAAGATGCCAAGGTAGAGTGCTATCTAATGCTCACAGGAACTTGATGTCACCTAAGGGATGCCCCCCTGAAAGTCATGCCAGGCAGGTACAGAGCAATTAAAGCAGTGACTTCGAGGGGGCTGTGTGGCTCCCAAGTCTACTTCCTGCTCTGGCAAAGGAAGTGCCCTTCCTCACATCCTACCCTCACTGGACACCCAGGGCCCCACTCCTTCCAGAATGTATGTGAGCAGACAAACGGAAGTCACTTGCAGAGGGTGGCCCAGATTCATTAGACAGTAGTTTTGTCTACATAAAGGCTAACTAGCACAGTGTATTTCTCTTTGGGCTTGAATTTGCCTTCCCTTTCCCAGCACATCTTCTCGCCTGCCCTCCAGAATCTTTCCCACCCTCTCCACCCCCACTCTCCAATGATGCCTGAGTGTATTTGAAAGAGAAAGAAAGCTCCTTCCCCTGTGGCCTCTTATCAATATGAAACTCTCAGAATGCTGACTGTTGAGCCCACATAGCTGAAGGCAGCGCTAGCAAGGGGCTTAAAGGTTTTAGCACACCACCACCGTGAGGCAGAGGTTCCCAGAGAGCTTTGGGCTTGTCTGTTACGAACCACACCAAATCGAGAGGTCAGAATCAGGTGAGAGGGGGGGTAGTGGGGGAGAACAAAACCAAACCAAAACAAAACAAACTAAAAAAACAAAACCAACCAAAAAGAAAAAAAAAAGAAAAAAGAAAAAAAGAATAAGAAGAACCACCAAAAACAGGTAGAAGAGGGTAAACGAAGGTGGGGGAGGGAGAATAAGAAAAACAGAAAATGATTCAAAAGTACAAGAATAACTGGTTGACATGGCCTGCAGGTTGTGGATAAAATTAAGATTCAAAGTTTAGTCTTTAAAAAAAATTTTTTTTTTCTGGTTTTGTATTTTTCCCCCTTAAAGATTTGGGACTTCCCCACTCCCTGGTGAGAAGGTTACAAGGAGTGAGAATGGTACCTTGCCCTTGTCATTTGCTGAAGTCAGGAAATGGGGTGCATAGCACAAGCCATTCACAGAGAAGTGACAAGGAAGAAAGGGCCAGGAGGGCCCTTGGGATCAGGGTTTGAACCAGAAAGACTAAATCTGTCCTATGCCAGAACCGTAGTCTCCCCTCTCCCCGACCCATTTGTGTAGGAAGGAGGAATGGGAACCTCAGAGCCTTTCTGACTTATAAGGTGGGGAAAACCAACTCAAGAAACCAGGCACATGACTCCAAAGTCTTGCCCACCATTAATCGCTGGCTGATGGGAACCTACTTGGTAGGAAAAGTGATCTTGGGGATCAACCCACTAATGCCATAAAAACAATTCAGACTGGGAATGTGCCCATCCAAAGACTTCAATAGAGTATCAGAACCATGGCGGGTGGGTACTGCTCCGTCCAAACCAAGTGTGTAAGCACTGGCAAGTAATAGGTCACTGAAGGCAACTCTCAGGGGACAGTGTCTCTGGCGTCTGCAAGGGTGGGGCTGTACTATATGTGTTCTTTTAGTCTGGGCTGGGAGCATGGGGCACGGGGCATGGACTCTGTAGAGAGGCAGGAGAGGACGAGAGGAGGGCGAATAGTGGAGGAGGACATGCCTCTTCCTGCTGCCTCCCAGAGGCTGAGGACTCTGGGGTTGAGTGGCCTTGGGGCTGGGGCTGTCTAGGCCAGAAGGAATTCTAGGGGAGCAAGGATGGTCCCCTCTTACCCTGTCTAGCAGGCTTCCTTTCTCTCCCTGGATAGACTGGCACAGACTATGGGTTCTACTCCCATCCCAGGAATGAAATAAACAATGTAACCTCTCCATTTTAAACCACCTTAGCCTGCAGATCAGAGAGAGCATGCTCACACACTAGGACCTCCATGCAGTTTGGAAACAGGAAGAAGAAAAAAAAGGGGAGGGTGGGGAAGGGTTAAGCAAAACAGAGGATGCACCAGGGAACAGGAGAGAGGAGAGGAGGGCGAGAGGAGAGGGAAGCAGGGGACAGCCAGAGGGGAGCACGAAGCAGGGTCTCAGGCTCTGTTAGGATGGAGCAAGAAGATGGGGAAGCAACTTGGTGGGCTCAAAACAGAGTCTGGTTAAATGTCTTCAAGTGCCAAACAGAATGAGACCCTAAGAGTCCTGATTGCTAGGACCCCTCCCGCCGTCCTTCCCGGGTCAAGCGGAAATGCTGTGTGGCGAGCATTTGAACACAGGACAGGGAGAGTGCAGCAGTGGACTGATGTGGTCAGATAGGGCTGGCCGATCAAAGGCAGTTGGAACACACACATCTGAATGGGCCAGAAAATGCCTCTATTCACAAGCGTGTGCGTGTGTGTGCGTGTGCGTGCGTGTGCGTGCGTGTGTGTGTGTGTGTGTGTGTGTGTGTGTATTTGTTTGTCTTCTGAATGTCCTGTTGATTTAGCATCCAGCTCAGTGTGGTTATGTCGATGTGTAAAGAAGAGCTGGGGAATGGGTGACTCCCCATTTTAGAGGCATTTCATGAGCACCCATCTGTAGCTTCTCCTGTACACATTCTGAGGGTGCTTCCTGGTCCTATTTTGGAAGGTCCTTCTCAAACAGATAGCAGAAATAAGCTTCATAACACATTTACAGCACCAAAAAAAAAAAAAAAATTCCCCCAAAAACTTAAAAAAAAAATCCAAATATTCAAAACAGAAGAAACATGGCAGCTTGAACTTTCTAGGGGCTGAGGCCAGAAAGAAGGCTGGGGAGTGACAGGGGCCTGCTGGGCTCCATGTCCTCTGTCCAGGGACATCTCAGCCTCTTTGACAATGGAAATGCTGCATTAGAGACGAAACCCCAACATGTGTTTTAAGAACCAAGCTGCTCAAGGACAAAGAGGCTACAAAGGTTTTAATCTGGCAAAACAAAATAAAAACCCAATTAAAACGTTGTTGTTGGTGGAGACGGTGGTAAAAGTATCAAGAAATTCCTGGTTGGAGGAAGATAAAGTACCGTGGATTTAAGCAAAGATGGCTTATATTTGAGGATGGTGGGTTGGGGGAAAAGGATCTATCCTTATTAATGTCAGTAATAGTTTCCAAAGCAGAAGCCAAGGCTAAGTTTGCAGCAACTGATCCGAAACCAAAAAAAAAAAAAAAAAAAAAAAAAAAAAAAAAAAAAGGGTTAAAAAAAAAAAAGAAAGGGTTCATAAATGACCATTCAGTGTAGTGGACAGTGTAAGCCACACCTGCTAGAAGCTGCTACAGGTGTGCCTGACCACGCTTGTCAGGGCATGGTCACACTGTCCCCTACAATTCAGGAATAAAATTATGAAGTTGTTCCCTGCACCAGCCTCACTGTGGGTCACAGGCAAGGGTGTCTATTGCGACTTGCTATGACAGGGTGTTCCACTGTCTTACCTTGGGCATTCATAAAGTGTTAACCAACTGATTACCTACAGAGGTTAAGCAGGTCCCTGACCTCCCTGGCTCACCCTAGTTTCATACCTAACATCCTTAGGCAGCTTTCTCCTGGAGTCCTGAGGCTGCTCTGTGAGACAGGTCATGTCTGAGTGCTGTCTGCTCATAGTTAGTTGCTCTCCTGCTGGGTGGATGCCTTTCTAAGGCCCGATTCCCTTACTCCAGACCACAGAGTCATCTGTGTAGCTTCCTGTCGGGGGATCCCCTGGCCCTCTCTCCCTTGGGGTCTTGTGTGGTCAGCAATCTCTCTCATACTGGCACCAAAGAAGGGGGAGCAGAGACAGGGCAGACTCGTGGGCATGCATGTGATGGGATGAACATCTGATCTAACGTCTAGACACGGAGCACGGCGGGGGAGATGGAGAAGAGGGTCACGTGACGCGGGAGGCACTACGAACAGGGATGCGTGTTTGGGGTGTTGAGATACCTACCATCATAATATTCCAAATTCAAAGACTGCTTGTATCAGAACAGAGAAACAACAAATTTAACCAAACGTGGTCGTTAGAAGCAAAGGAAAGGAGATGGGTACTGGAGCGCACCCTTCCCCGAGAAGGAAGTACCTAACCCTTCTCTGCCAGGACCCTGAGGTGGGAAACCTGCAGGCAGGTCATGGGGCTCAGTGTGGACTCTTCTGAAGCAAGGGGGGACCCACGCTACGCCTGCCTGGAGTCACATTTGACTTTGTTCTGCAGGCCTGGCAATGCTGCACAGTATCTGGCTGCAGCCCTCACTACCCACAGGCTGTTAGCTGGTGCACACCATTCAATGCCACGCTTCTTTTTCAGCTCTGTAAAACAATGTCAGCTAACGAGCTCCTCCATACAGATACGTGTTTTAAACATAACACAACCAAAGGGAGGGGGGAGGGAGAAGAGAGAGAGAGAAAAAAAAAAGGATTTTTTTTTTAAAAAGGCAGCCTGCCGCACTGCACTTCTCTCAGCAGCTTTAAGGAAAGTGCGTGGGAATGCCACCAATGCCAAATTCAAGCTCTGACTCTTTCACACCTGGGAGAGGGGCAGGCTGACCAGTAGCAGGACGAGCCTCAGTGCCTGTCTTCATGTGTTAGGTCATGGCTGTCAGCCCTTGCCACCAGAGATATGCTCTTCACAAGAACAAAGGGGAAGGGGGGAAAACAGTATGGAATTAGCAAGGAAAATCTGAAGAATGAGAGTTTATTAGTCATTGATGTCAGTGGGGAAAGCAGATGTGAATGAGGGCAAAATAAATCGACCCACTAAGTAGCGGAAGGACAGAAGGCTCTGATTGTCCCCAAGGCCTCGGAATGGTCATGTACCTGCAGGGTTTGCACCATAAAGTCATTCGGTCAAGCCCGAACAGTGCCCGACACTTCTTTGGAGTATTTGCATCTGTTAGCATAAGGTAAACACAAAAAAATACAACACAATGGTGGGTTGTGTTTAGTTGGATGTGAGCCTCCACTAATTGTTCTCTGCATCCTCTTGGTTCTACTTGACAATCGTCCCTCATCAGGGGTTTGAAAGAAGGGACTTCTATGAGCCAAAATAAATCAAATAAAACAATAAAACACACACACACACACACACACACACACACACACACACACACACACACTACACACACCACACAAAGGAAAACAACAACCAGAAACAAACAAAAAAAAACAATGAAAAATAAATAAAAAGAGAGAGAGAGAGAAGAGGAGGGGAGAAGGTGACATCATTGGCGTCTACCCAGGCCAGGATGAGCACATCCTGGGCTGCCACAAGGAAGGGGGTTGGCAGGCAACATTCCCTGGTCCAGGGCACGCTGGAATCTGAGTCTCAGCCCTGAGGAGGCACACACACTGTTTTACAGTGGCATTCTGGCTAGCAGCAGCTGGCAGACAAGCACATCCCTCGTGGAGCCCACACATTGGCAGTGTCCCCGCTCCCTGGTATTTCCTATGATCCACACACAAAGCTACAAAGCAACAGGCCAGAGGAGGAAGAATGGGAGAGAGAGCTGCAAACCAGCACAGCGAATCTGGGAGACTATACACACCTGCAGGGGCCGCACCAGTTATTCTGTTGATCAAGGCCAAAGCGCGCTCGGCATTTCTTAGGAGCGCTCAGGTCTGAATGAGTTCAAGAAAGGAGCGAGAGGAGAAGGACGTGGGAGGCAGGGGGAGAAAGAGAGAGAGAGAGAGAGAGAGAGAGAGAGAGAGAGAGAGAGAGAGAGAGAGAGAGAGAGAGAGCGAGAGAGAGAAGGGGAAGGGAGGGGGAGAGAGATACAAACAAGAAAAAAATAAAAATAAAAAAGGGAATAAATCAATGACCGGGTTACTAATAGCAAAATATTGACTTTTTTTTTAACTTTCTTTAATTAAAAAAAAGGTAAAAAAATCACACTTATTCAACTTGTGAAATTAGCTGTTGCAAATAAAGCTGCAGTATCCCTTATGAAGGACGGTCAGATCTGGTTCCAGCCACCCAAAGGGTGGCAATAGACAAGAACTTGTCTTTTCATTATTTTTTTCCTCTGTTTAGTTCTTTTTTTTTTTTAAATTCTCTCAATTTTCTTTTTATCAAAGAAGAAAATAAAGCAAAGGAAGGAGTTGAGTTTGTAACATGCTTTTTTCTTCTGAGTACCACAGTTTTGAAAAGAAACAAACAACAACAACAAAAAATAAAACCACTACAAATAAACACAGAACAAAATGAAACGAAACAGAAAGAAATAAAGAAAGAAAAAGGTTGTGGGTATTGGGATATTGCAGCTTTTGGGATGTTCTTTTTCTTTTAATCTATTTTCATTAATATTAAGAGGGAAGAAAGGTGAACAGGCCATGGGATGAGCTATTAAGTGTTAGAAGCTCCTAGCGGCATGAAAGCAGGCAGGCATGGTCAGCAAATGGCTAGCAGATTTGCAAATGATAAAAGCAAAAAAAGCAAAAGGAAGAACAAACAAACGAACGAACAAAAAATAAATAAATAAAAAGCAAAGAAAAAAATCATACTGCGATTGCATGCTGGCATGAGAAAAACTTAGTGGGGCAACGGAAAAAGCCATTAGATTAAGGAGGTTTTATTACTGAATTTTTTTTCCATTTTTTTTCTTTACCAGTCTCTTTTAAAGAAATACTGCATATTCAATTTGCACAGTTAGTTCAGCTCTAAACCACTGTCATCACTGCTTAAACAACTGTTATGGGAACAATAAGTAAATGAAACAGAAGTTAAATAAAAAATAAATAAAACCAACAAAATCAACTGGAAAAAAAATCTACTGAACATAATGAAACCGTGTAGATGATTGTTTTAAAGGATGTTCAAATGTCATACGTGTTTAATGTTAATAAAACTATAAATGGCAAGAAAAATGAAAAAACAGTTCATCAACTATTTTAATGACTCAAAAGGACATTAGCACCTGTGATCGGAGGAAGTGAAAGGCAAGGATTTAGGAAACATTCGCTGTGTTCTGAAAAAAAAGAACAAATTACACAAAGTCTTCAAAATTTTTGTTTGTCTGTAAAAGCCTGGCCTTCTCCAAGGGACCTTGATTGCCTATGCAGTATTTCTAGTTTCTTCTACTGAATGGCAAACCTCCTTAATTTAAAATGGGTGCAATTTACCACTGTAAAGGCATGCATTGGAACACTCAGGAGCAGCCAGTTAACCCAACACTCACACACTCCTGTCCTGGCCCCCTAGGCCCCTCCTCACCCCTTCTCAGACACACACATAAGCAGGCTGTCCAAAACCCAGCAGAGGCATGCCTACCGCTGGCTCTCTAGTTACAGGCTTGGCAGTTATTTAAAACACATTCCGCCAGAATAACAACGGGCTTTTCATGCAACAATGGATGTTACTAGCTTTAATAGGGCAGTCGTGAAGCAATTAATTAAAACGCATAAACCGAAAAGGCTCCCTAAGACGGGTTCCCCACAACGTCCTGGCCTTGGATTTCTCCTGCCTCCCCCAGATGGAAGCCTGACATAAGAGTGGCCCTCCAACTAATGTCTCTTCTGTCATCCTGACCACTGTCACTCACCATTGGTCTCACCAGGTTGCTTGTCCCTTTTCCTCTTCTTCTTCTTCCCCTAGATGAACAGATGAAAGGCAGGAAATTAGGTCCAGAAATGGACAAGGTGGGAGATGTCTGGATTCACACGGCAGGAGAGTCAGGATGAACCAGCTATCCCCACCATTTCCAAGTCTACCCAGTCTGCCCCCCCCCATGAATCTAACCCTTGCACTCTGCCTAGCCGGAGGGACACACATTTCTTAGAGGAAAGGGGATGTCAGCAGGTAGGTGTAGAAAGACCTCATGGCCTTCACCCATTTTCATCCTGACCGAGGACATCTGACTCCATAAAGGGCAAGAGAAAGGGCCAGGAAGATTCAGGAGGGATGGGAGGCCATGGTGGGAGCAGGATGAACACACTTCCAAAGAGCCACGAAGAACCCTGGGGGGCTTTAGTGGTTCACAGCTGCCCTACCAGCCCCAGAGTATCTCACTATGAAAGCCAAAGCATCCCTGCCCTGCGCTGAGAGAGAAACCCACTCTAGTTTTTCTCTAGTAGTGTGATCCTTCTAAAAGGTGGTAAGGAGGCAGGTGGAGGTACAAGAGAACCAACAGTTACCTGGGCTTCTTTCAAAATTGCAGAGTGCACTTGCACAGGCAAGGGGCAGAGTCCCCCCCCATTCTCTTATGTTGGATACAGGTATTCCTCTGATTGCACCCCAACCAACACATCACTGGTCACAGAGATCACAAGTCACAAATGCATGTGTTATGCCCATGGACATAACATGTCTCAGGACATGGCAGCTTAGGCCAGCCCACTTCAAACCACACAGGGTACTCTACAGGTGTTCAATGTCATCTACCATGAAGACTGCCTTATCAAAAAGTATTGAACGGCTTGTGCCATGGACTGTAATGTAGAAAGTAGAATGGTTGTATGGGCTTGCTTCCATGCCACTGTGAAGCTGAAAAATTGTAACCATGGCACAATAGGAGCCGTCTATATCATGTGTATTACCATGCTGTTAGAATGGCTAGCTCCTAACAGGTATTAAAATTACGGACTATTATAAGGTTACCTCTTCATGATAATAGCCACTCCTAACACTAACAATGGCCAGCATGGTCAAGTACACATTAGGATACAGGCGTGACCCAAATAGCAACAGCTCTACACAGCACATGCATCCTCATCACTCCAGTGTCACAAATGGGGACAGGTTCAGAGGGGCTAGGCAATGTTTTTGAATTGGCACAGCTAAGATGAGGTGGAGCTAGAGCGTAGACCCAAGTGGTCCCAAAGCACTGCTCTCAGGCACAGGCTGTGCCTTCTGCTGAGTACTGTCTGTGACCCTCCACAGAAGCCCTTCTTTGATACCTCAAGGGTGAGGAGACTGCCTTAAGTCATTGCCACATGCCAGCCTGACCCTATCAAGTGAGCGAGCCAGGATCTGGGGTACACTGACCCACTGCAGGGCTAGAGGGAGGCTCTCTGGCCCCTATGAGGCAGCTGTGGCCCTACAAATCTATGTGCTTCAGAATGTGTGAGTGTTGCCACCTTTGCTTTGCTTAAAGGTTTTTATGGGGCAGTGACATAGACATCAAAAAGGAAAGGATAGCGGCATGTGTGTAGCAACCCCAAGGTGGTCTCAGGCTTGGATGAGTCCAACTATTTTGGAGAGGGCTTCACTATCCTCTGAGGGTATGGGGTCTGTGTCACTCGGAATGTGTGCTATGGCCAGTTATAAAGATATACACCAAATCCTTTTGTTTCTTGGCACACAAAGGAAAATAGGAAGTATGCCACGTGGCTATTTCAGAGCGGGCGGAAGCCAGAAGAAAAACTCAAGAAGTGGTCTAGCCTGAGGGTGCCTGTAAGTGAGATGCACTCTCTCTCTCTCTCTCTCTATCTCTCTCTCTCTCTCTCTCTCTCTCTCTCTCCAGGGCCATCTCATGGTCCCCCTACAGAATTCCCTGCTGTACACTGACACCTGGAATGCAGGCCATGTTCATGACTGAGCAAAGGGCTGTGCAGGTTACTAGCTCCTGGTGAACAGGGATGGTGCTTTAATGGGAGGAAGATATGAAGATAGAAGGGGAGACCACTTCCTTTTTAAAGATAAAAAGAAAAAAAAGTATAAGAAATGAGAGCGAGAGAAAAAAAATCAGGTGGACACATGCAACCGTTAATATAGGAAGGAAGGAAAGCTCTACTATGGTGCCTGGTCAGCTAGCTCTTACTATGGTACCCAGCTAGTGTCTCCTGGGTCTTAAAGAACAGGCCAAGTCTGAGCAGCCAGATGGGGTTTCTTTCCAATATACTTCCTCAGGTGGTGACATAAAGGCTCCAAGCCCCCCTTGGCTGAGAGAACAAGAAAGGCTGGTTCAGACCACATCTCCCATGAGAATCTTCTGGGCCTCTCAGTAGCCACAGCCATCTGCAGAACCTCCAGTTGGTTAAAAGGAAATACTACTTATAAGTTCCCACCATATTCAAACTCACAAACGCTGCCGGTATGAAATCCCTGACCCCAGTGTGTTTCCTGGAGCAGGGAAGGAAGAAGCGAGCATGTGTTCTCACACGTATGTAATGAGACACTGAAACAGGAACCTGAGAGCCTGTGTCCAAGAGGCTAAGCTCCTGCAGCCCTACATCCAATTCACCTCTAAACCCAGCCCCTCTCCTTCTCAGGCTCCTTCCAATTGTTCAAGCTACCTTCCAATGCAGAGTGGGAGGCAGGGCAAGTGGCATTTGGACCTTCAGAAAAATCTAGAATGCAAATCACAGAATGCTTGGACTGTGTCTAAATGACTCCCTGCAAGTCAAACATAGAATGCTTCTGACACTGTCACCAAGTCTGTCTGTGCCTTTGTGTTCATTCTGTGCAATGCCAGAGAGCACCACATACCCATCCCCTAGTGTAAATGGCACGTGGTCCACAAACTGGGCAGTTTTTATATGAAGGCCCTGTGAAGACACAGATGCCTAGAATGTCTTGGGACATGGTAGCTATAGAGAAACTAAATCCTGCTCTGGGATGCCTTCTCAGTGATTGGATGAGTAACAAGCCAGAGTTGAACTAGAGTTGAACCCTATGAGCTCTTATGGGTCAGAGGGACAAGAGGGTGCCTGATGCTGAAGTGTCACCTAGGATTGGGTCGGGGTACACAGAGAGCCTGTGGGAGGGCTCAACCACTCAGGTGTCCCAGCAACACACACAAAGACAGTGGAAAGGTACCACATAGCTAAGAGCTCATGATGCAAGTGATAAGTGCCAGTCTGTCAAGAATAGAAGTGCTGCCTGGGGCAGGGAGGCCTGGAAGGACGTGGGCAAAGGCATTGCTGTGAAGCTGAGCCAGTCTCCTCAGCTACATGGCAGGTTGCAGGTGAACCCACCTCCAGCCTTACAGGGCTGAGGAAAAAGAGTGGAGGAAATTCAAAGAGCTATGATATCAATGGAATGGAGGATGACCACAGGAATGGAGTCCATCCGCCCATCTTCTCCACTGGCACCAACAGGCAAACAGTCTTCTGGCTCCATGACTTTTCCAAGAGGGAAGAGGAAAGGAGGCCTGTGATGGCAGCAAGACAGGTTTGATTTTTGACATCAGAGTAGGTGGAAGAGACATCTCATGAGATCAAGCATGATGCAATAAAGAGACAAAGCTGGAGACATTCCATCCATCCAGAGAGGAAAGACGCCGAGAGCTCAAGGCTGCTGGGTAAAATGCAGGACCAGGACTAATGATGAGAAAAGACAGGGGCTCCAGAACAATAAATTTGTTGCGTGCCATCAATGCAAGTAGTAAAAACAATAGTCCTATTAAGATGATGTTTAAGAAGCAAGACAGGAAATCAAGCAAATCTTGATCTGCCAACAGAGCCCAGAAGCACACATATCATGTGTCATGTGACACATACCCTTCTCTACCTCTGTGGAACCCTGCATTATTTCATCTTCCCTACCCAAAGCCGAGCTCTGCTGGCTACTTTCAGGGATATTCCCATCATGCCTTTCTCAGGTTTAAACAGGCTTCCAGCTCCTGTGACAGCCTGGCCTCAGTTGCTTTTGTGGCTGTCCTCCCGAGACTACAGGCCCTGCTGGAAAGCCTGTGGGGAGTTAAACATGCCCCACCCCTCTATCTAGTGCGGTCTCTATAAAGCTACATCACTGATGACAGATGGGCAAAGAGGTACAGACACCCAAGTCAATCTCCCGATCCCGGGTGGGAACATGGATGCCAGCTTCCTCCCTGCTTGCCGAGGAATGACCACATGCTAACATATAACACAGTCACATTGAAAGACAATCTCCTTGATTGGGGGTCAGGGACAGAATGCATGGTCTGGAAGTCTGGAGGCCTGGTTCAAGTAGGCCATAACCCATGCTCTGGGAACTCTCAGATACACAATATGTACACAAAGACTGAATTCTCCAGAAAGTGGTCCACGTACATAGTTATCCCGCGCAGACCAGCCAGGATACAGCTGCATGTGAAGCTGTCGTTCCTTCCGGGCCAGCTCATAATACTTGGCTTGTTCTTCCCTGGACAGGGCGTGCCACTGCAGAGAACATGGGGCAGGGAGAGAAAGACATGTAGAAACGTCACAAGCTACACTGTGGCAGTAAATGAGACACAGAGCTGCAGGGTCACGAGTCTACCCTGACATGCTAGAATGTGCAGATACTGGCAGCTTTGCCAGGTCCTGGCACTAACAATGGTCCAGAGAAAACATGTCTGCCCTCTATGTAATCTGTCCTTTGCTATGTCTGCAGCAGGAAGACGAGGGAGGTGGCTATCCTAAATGCTGCTCAAAAGCACAATGGTCTTGACCAATGGAAGCCATTCAAGGATTCAAAGTGGCAGTGTTGGGGGCAATGCTCTAAGAGCCAGGTGTAAAGGGACACCTGTCACTGTTTCTGGTCCACTCTGGTTCTCTCCGCAGAGGGCCACCTACCCTGCGGCCAAGGATCTGGTTAATGGCGGCACTTTCCTTCAGTGTGCACTCGGCCACCACCTTCGCTCTCATTTCCTTCATATACAACATGAATGCATTGAGGGGCTTCTTTATGTGGGGCTTTTTCTTCTCCTCTTCCTTTTTGGAGTCCTGATGCTTTCTGGATAGAGACAAAAGGAGAGGGACACACACCATCCAGTCAACAACAATGCAGTCAAAGCCCCACAAAGTGGAGCCCATGTTCCTTCCTCCTTCCCAGCAAAGCCTGGAGGTTTCACATGAAGGGCTCATTTCCACCTTTAGACCCTCCAGCCCTGGAGCATGGGCCAGAACAGTTGGAGGAGGAGGAGGCCGGGCTGGTGAGAAATTCTGAAATCACTTCATAGAGATTTACAAACAGACATTTTCCCAGGGCAGAGGAAAAGCACAGGGTGGTGGACCCTACTTCCCAGGGTTCTGAGCAGCAGTGTGACAGTCAATGAGACCAGCTAGAGAGCACGTTCTGCTTTCTATGGAAGCCAGAGGCCATATGGACTGGGTACTCCCTAGGGTCAAACAAGAGAAGCTGACCTTGGCCAGAAAGCCACCAAGCAGTGGCCACCATGGTGGCGCATCGAATAGGGCCACAGGGTATGAAACAACGGTGACACTTACGAGCTATGGAGTGAGCCGACGTCACTCTGGGAGGATTCCTGCTTGACTGTTGGTGTGACGATGGCCGGATGAGGGATGCCGGTCGTGTGGAGAGTATGGTGGGGAGGGACCATATGGGGAGGGAACCTAGAAGACAGGAAGCTGTGTAAATTGTCAGAATCAAAATGAAGGAATGAGGAGGGTTGTGTACACACAATTTAAAAAAAGGCGCAGTAACATTCCCGTGAAAGCAACCCAAGGCATATGAAGCCTGTCAGCATTAATTAGTGATAAATTAAACATAATGATTCCCATAATTGTCACCAAAGCCCATCCTCCCCTTCATTATTGCTACCGACACGAGACATTACGATTTTTAACATCTTTAGCAAAAGACAAATCCAGCCGATGTACGTGGGCGGAAAAGTGGGCTTGGACTACCAGCTAGAAACCGCACATCCACTTTGTTTCTGAGGTATGAGCTGCAACTTCTCAGAATGGCAATTTCCTAAGTCCTGGTCAGCTCTAGGAGGACAGGTGACAGCGTTTGCTGTGTACTGACAGCTAAATAAAATATTAACGTGGCTGAAACATATATGCAAGTCCTGACAATGCTCCATGTGCCTCATTAGGCCTCATTCTGGTGATGGAGAGCAATCAAATCTTCATTTTTTTTTCTTTTGTTGCTGTGCCCACCATTTAAGGGTAACAGGAGAGAGAGACACACAGAGAAAAATTCTGATAGTTCCTGCGTGACTCTCATCTCAAACCACGGGCCTTTTGAATAAATTTGTATTTTTAGTTTTAGTTTTTAGAAGGACGAGGACGCACACACACACCCCGAAGCACCGGATTCTGATTTATGTGCCTTTTCTCCTCTGAGAGTCTTACTTTTACTTAATACACTACCTCTGCATCATTCAAAAGCCTTGTCAATGACAAAAAAATCGTAATCACAGAAAAGGCAAAGTTAACAGCACTTGCTTCTGGGAAAGTCCTCAGAACACACTTCAGTTCTTGAACCGGCATTTCCCAACATACAAGTTTGCCAGGACACACAAAGCTAGTTTCGGCTCCACAGGACAAATGGCTGTCAAATTTTGTATGTTTTGTTTGAACTGGTGGGAAAGCAACAACTCAACTAAAGTAACACCGTGATTAGAAAAACAAGGCTGGGCGTTGGTGGTGCCCGCCTTTAATCCCAGCACCGGGGAGGCAGAGGCAGGCGGATCTCCGTGAGTTCCAGACCAGCCTGGTCTTCAGAGCCAGTGCCAGGAGAGGTTCCAAAGCTACACAGGGAAACCCTGTCTCGAACCCCCCCCCCCCAAAAAAAAAGAAAAACAGGGCAGACAGATCGCTAAATGGTGTAAAGAAATAGCAGCCCTTCTAATAAAGCCAAACCAGAAGAGGAAACCCACAACCCAGGGACTAGCATGGACCAGCATCCTGCTCTTGAGAAAGCAGTTCTTTCCATAAGTGGATGGGGGAAATACATAATATAACAAATGTCCAATCGAAAAGGGATTTAAAAAATTAGAGAATGAACACTCTCAGAATATCTTAACGGAGACAAAAATACCCATGAAGAATGTTGACCTTTTCAGGGATCCCAGAGCCATTGTAGATACCGCCTTAGAAATTCCACCCTCTACTGCAACAGCCTTTGCAAACTTAAGGCAGTACCAGAGATTAGGAACAATGACATACTTTAGTAGTAGTCAGAGAGATTTTGTGTGTGTGTGGGGGGGGGGTGTGGGGTGACAACCAACCCACTCCTGTCCCCTTAAAAACCAAACCAAAAAAAAAAAAAAAAGAAGAAAAAGAAAAGAGAAGCAGACCCTTGAGCTCTCAAGTTACACCCTGCTCCTCCCACTGTTCCCAGGGCCACAGAGCAAAAGCAAGTCAAGATGTGTTCTTGGAAGCCCTTCGGTGAAGGGCGGGTGGAGTGGCGGGCGATTCTTACTATGAGTGTCTCAGATACATATGTTCCTCTCCTGCTGTGTGAGAATACTCGTACATACACACGAGGGAGAGAAAGAAAAAAAGTGTGGAAATGTGTGCTGGCCTGTGTGCAGATGCATATGCATACAAATGCAAGGCAAAGGCAATGAGACTTGAGCACAGTTTAGGGGTGGAGGGTCTGGGTGCCACTATAAAGAACAAACGCTTGTGAGTCCCTTGACCTCTACATGTGTGGGTACACATGAAAAAGTGCACAACAGCAGAAAGACTGCGTGTGAGTGTGTGGCCCATGCATACACACACCTTCACCCCTTTCTGCAGACAACTGTTTCATGAAATGCAACAAACACCCTCAAAAAATTCTAAGCAGCTCATTATATACCCCCGTCTGCTTTTATGGCTCCAAGCCAGAGTATAATGATGAACCTTAACTTGTTAAGGACAACTAATTTTTGTTTCTGGCTGTCTCAGGGGCCTCTCTCATACTCGCGCTCACTTTGCTTCACTGTTGACACATTTCTGTTAGCTGCATGTCATCTGCCGGCCTTGATTTTATGCACAAGCGGTAGGATGCATTTTCCCGTGCAACAATCCTGCTTTGAGTTACATTAGGATTGTCATTATTCTCTCATTTTCCCCCTTGCACTTGTAACATTTCATCTCTTCCTGCCTTATTTTTTGTGAGCCACGGTGCACCCACATTATGGTTTATACATGATCTCGCTCCCTTTGAAGCCGGCAGATTTCAGGGCCCGCTCTCGTCATGAGAAGAGCCTTGCCCAATTTAGCGGGCTGAGGGCCCGGAGCTCCAACATCTCAATCTAAAGGGGGTCACAGGGTGGCACCAGTGAGTGTCAGCAAGTGCTGTTTAATTGCCAATCTAGGCTTCTCCACGGTGTTTAAAGTATAATGACCCATCACTTAATTCTGAGAAGTCCTGGCCCTGCTGCTGAATAGAATAAATATCAAAGGGTGTTCTGGAACAGGGCAAGCTGCCTACATTTACTGTAACTGCCATACATATAATAGACCTATACTTCTGTCGCCCCATTACCACAATAATGTATTTAATTTGCTGTATACGCTTTTTAACTAGCTACCTTTCATTTGGCCTATCTGGGGAATCGGCCACCTCCCCCCATGTACCACCAGCCCCTAACCTTTCTTCCCACTACCCCCTTCGACCTATAAATCATCAGCTAGCCTCCTAATGATAATTCAATCAATAAGCTTAACCCCCATTCCCTATCCTACAATTACTTCATTGCTTTCAACCTCCGGATGCTCTGAACAAACAAGCAGGAGGAAGAATCGGGAGCAGCATGTGAACGCTGGGATGGAGTTAGGATCACAAGCAGCCCCTCCCCTCTCCTCCCAGGGGGTTTCCCATTCGCTCCCACGCTGTACGGGGACTGTGACGACATCATCCATCTAATGAGTATAACCTTTCTACTTTCTCCAGCAGAGAAGATGCAGAAAACCATTCTCTTGCCTGGCTCACACAGGCACGGATTCTGAGATTTAGGTGAGATCTCACATGTGGAGAATGGCTCTTTCAAGCCGAGTGATATTCATGGAGCAACTATGAACTCTAGCTACACTCCAGCCTGCTTCTCTCAGTGGGTGTGAGTCTCGCTCTGTCCCAGACAAAAGTTGCTGTCCTGAAAGCAGGAAAAGAAGCATTCCAGGCAGCCGTCAGCCCCTTCTCTCATTTTGGCTCCCAGTGGTTGGCCACAGAGCATGGAGGCAGAGGCAGGGGGACAGCATCCTTGCCGTGTACTGCATGCTAATTGAATCACGTGGCATCATCAAAATGGATTGGTTACTCCAGCCCATCAGGAAAGTCTAAACCTCCACCGATTTAATTAACTGAACCGAAAATCAGATGAACATAAAATAAAACTATCATTAGAGGCAATTAGTGACTACTTAAACATGCTGCTGCCAACCAGTTTGTGAGTAAACTAGCAGTCACTGAAAAATTAGCTAGAATTAATTAGAGAGAGGAAAATGAGTCCTCGGGATACATATGTACATGGTATATATGCTTAAATCCGAATCTATAGAAATGGATGCACACATAATTTCTTTTCAACTGTGGAAGATTCGGCAGCATTGTGCAGGTCAGTAGCATGGTCCCCGGGCATGTGTCCTCAAGTCCCTCAAATGTGCTCAGTCAACTTGAGATGTGTATAAAGTGTAAATGCATGTCACAGGTGAGAGCTGAGTTAAGAAAAAAAGAAAGAGTGGTAGCTGTGCCGGGGTCACATTGTGTTGTAAATATAATACTGCAGCCACACAGTATGCCCGACAAAAAATGCACATTGTGTTGTAAATATAATACTGCAGCCACACAGTATGCCCGACAAACATAACGAGCCACTAAAAAACAATTTCACCACGGGGTGATAGGGGGTGGGGGTATCTTAAAGTGATACCAACATGAAAAGTGGGGGGAGAAAAGAAAAATGTAAACATAAGGTTTAATGCAAAACACAGCACGGATCCCATGAAATTTCTACTGGACACCGCTACTCTGACGGGCCAGGACACAGCTTATTATAGACCCTGAACGGGAATCTGGACTTCCAAAGCACCCGTCAATTTCTTTCTCAAATCTTAGCCAGGCATTGGTGGCGCACGCCTTTAATCCCAGCACTCGGGAGGCAGAGGCAGGTGGATCTCTGTGAGTTCGAGACCAGCCTGGTCTACAAGAGCTAGTTCCAGGACAGCCTCCAAAGCCACAGAGAAACCCTGTCTCGG